GTCTCTTCTGGGAATTACAAGGCTCCTAGGGCCCAGATTCTCCTTTTCCACTGCTGTTTGAGCTGATAGGATAGTAGTTAGGCCCCTTCCTACCCAAAGAGCTGAGAAACCAGTGTGTTTTCCTTTGAGGAATTGATAAGAGCTGAACTGGGACCAGTGGAGAGGCATCAGGACTTCAATGAGGCCATCGGAGGCCAACAGTGCCCCAGCTGCCTATTTGTGATGGAAAAACTCATGGGTAGGGCTTACTATCTTTGAAGCCCCCAAGGGGAAATCTCATCCTCCTGTCCCTGGCTTAGGTTGGCAAGTTACTGTTAGCTCCAAATGACAGGCAAGGATGCCTGGCAAGATGAGAAAAAGTTGAGGAAATAGGAACACAAAAGATCAAGGCCCAGAATAGGGAGAAAGGGACATAAAGACACCAAGTGAGGAAAGAGGTTGAGCTCCTAATGAGGTGAATTTTGCTAGCTGGACACAGCCTCGCTGGGAATGCTCTTCAGCAAGACTGTTGCCCAGAGTCTGGGCATAGGGGTAGAATCATCTGACACCTATTTTAGAGGGATGAAGGTATAGTTCAGAATTTACCTTTCCTGGCATCTTTAATGCCCATTAATCAGAGTGGCCCAGGATGCATAGCATGGGGGACACATTGGTTGGTAAAGGCTAGCAGGGTTTCAACTTCTTGAAAGAAACTTTCCAATCCTTTGTGTAGCTGCTGCATCTACCTTTTGGGGATCTAAGTTGGGAATGGGATTTCCCTAAAACAGTCCTTTTTCTGGCCTAGCCCTGGTGAAAATATTGACCTGTCATGAATAATGATAGAAGAGTTGGTACTTCACCATATTGAGTTGCCTCTCCCCATATCATGCCATCTCCCTGTCACCAGTGCTCCTCTACCTGCTGAGATGAAAGGGACTTCTTCATATTTTGACAGATGGATACAAGGATGGGGAACTTGGGAGGGCCTGCAGGTTAATGCATTGGCCTGGGAAATCTGTAAAAATAAGTGAGTGCTGTTTAAGGCCCCTCCCCTACATGATATTCTACTCTTCCAGTCTATGATTATATAAGCTTGACCCAAAAGGTGAGATGTGGCTCAGCCTGAGATGAGTGTGACTGATGCTACTATTAGGGGTGGGCTAGGCCAAGGTAAGTCTGATTGGCTCAAGCTCTGGGTCCCTCCTTTCTTTAAGCACCCATTTGTCTATAACAGTCATAAAAAGGAATAGAGAGGGAAGAGAAATGAGGAGGAAATAGAGGGGGGAAAAGAAGGAAGGAAAGAAAGAGGCAGACTGTTAACCAACCAACCGTATGATGGGGAGACTTATTTGTACACTTATAAACAAACAGCACCCACAGTTCTTGGGAAGTCACAGACTCTGAGGCTAAACAAGTCTCATTGTTCCATTTTACCTCTGCCTTTCCTCCAGCACCCTCCACCAGTGGCTCCTAAGGTCAGATGGCAAGGAGCTCCTCAGCATACAGAGGCTTGGGTCTTCCCATCAGGCTCCTGGGGACACAGTAGCACCTTTGACAGTTGCTTCTAGTGGGTGACTAACAGGCTGGGGCCACAATGTCCCATGCCCCTCCTCCCCCAGGGGTTAGAAAGTATAGGGAGAGGTTCCAAAGGCCAGGGGGTGATCCTAGGCTTTCCTAGATCATGGGAAGAGAAGAACCCTGGCAAGTTTAAAGGCATTCATGAAGAGAATTTGGTTAATAAATTTGGAACACCTGGAGCTTTGGCTCCAAAGGGATGGTCAGGTGGCTGAAATGCTGTGTGCATAGGTTTGGGAACAAGTGTGCTGGTGGCAAAAATGTAAATGCTGAGCAGGGTGGGGTGAAGGAAAGGGGTTGAAGAGCACACAATGACAAGAAAGCGGCCTTAGATTGGTTCCTCAGGGGTGAGGGAGCCCGGCAGCAGCTCCCCACTGGGGTCTGGGTCAGGGGCCAACATCTTGTCCTTGCTGGAATCCCTTTGTTCTTTCTTGAACATCCTTTGATGCATCAGAGGGACAAAGAAGAGGATTACAGCTCCAATTATTGGGGGCACACCAGCAAAGTAGAAGGCCACATGGTAGTCCCCAAAACAATTGCGGAGGAGGCCTGAAATAGTTAAGAGAGAAAAGTCAAGCTCAGCTTTGCCCTACTGCCCAAAGGTGCTCTCTACCTCTTCTAGGGGCCATCACAATACCTATTCAGAGAATTTTGGCCTGAACTACCTTGACCTAAGGAGCCCCTCAATTGAAATACTTCTTCTTGTAAGAAATTAACCTCTATTACAAAAGCAAGTGAGTCCTCTGAGGTACTGGGGCTGCAGGCCCTTGAGGCTGATGCTCATTATGAAAGAAGCTAATGAAACTTCTCATAAAGTTCTCTATTTGTGACTTTCATGAAGCTACAGCTAACTCCTAGTCACTCCTAGGTATGGAGTTAATTTAAAAGAGGGAAGCTAATTTAAGAGAACTCCACAGAATATGACCAAGCCTTGTCTTGGTTCACAGTGATATATCCTCCCACACCCAATTTAGGCTAGAGTGTTCTTATGGAACAATTCAGCCAATTTCCTATTTGCCCTTTCTCTTAAGTTCTCATTTTGCCCTAAGAGGAGGCTGTATGTGCGTCTTTCCTTCAAGTTATGGATATGGTTGGTCCCTCTGGGTTCCTCTAAGTTACAAATACCATGGATGTGTTTGGCATGGGATACTAGGCCTCCTCTGCTCACCTTCAGAAGCTAATGTGAGCCATCTCGTAGGAGGAATAAGCCCAGAAGCACTACTGAGTAAAGGCAAGTAGGCTCTTGGTCTGCTTAGGAGGTGAGCAAACTGAAAAGAGATGTGGATTCTGTGACCCACCTTTAGGATCAGGGGCTGGATAGAGGCTCCCCTCACCCAGTGGGTAGTGTGGCTCTAGCACAAAGGCCTGAGTGGAAGCTTTTGCCACTGTTACACAACATGACCAGTGACCTTAAAAATCTTGCTCACAGTTTGTGTTCAAGGAATATTTGTTGAGTTGGCCCAGTTGGCCAGCCTAGGAAAAGCTAGCCTATTAATTAATCCTAAAGAAAGGAAATAAAGTTTTCTCTTTCCATTGGTTTTCCTTGTTTTCTATGTTTCCTGGGGTACCAACAATGCCCTTTTTAGAGAGTGGAGAAACTGGGTGTGCTGAAAGACAGCAAGCCAACACTTTGCCTGATGTCTGCTGGAAGTGACCCTCACTGACCCAGTACTGGGATGCGGCCTTAATCAAATATCTTCTACAGGCTCAGTTCAGAAGCCAGAAGAGGAGGAGGGGAATGTCTCTAAGTCTTGATAAAACCAGGGCCCTCTTTCTCTTTTCCTCTGTCTAGCTACCTTGCAAATAATTACCTGCCTGTGAAGAGAAAAAGGGATACTAGATCAATGGAATGGTCAAGAAGGCCAAACCTGCCCAGCCAGCTTGGCTCAGCGGTTGAGCATTGACCTATGAACCAGGAGATCGCAGTTTGATTCTTGATCAGGGCACATGGCCGGGTTGCAGGCTCAACCCCCAGTAGGGAGCATGCAGGAGGCAGCCAATCGATGACTCATCATTGATATTTCTATCTCTCTCTCCCTCTCCCTTCCTCTCTCTGAAATCAATAAAAAAATATATATATATTAAAAAAAGGAGGTCAAACCCATTTTTCTCTCTATCCTCTTGGAATCATCCATGCTATCTACAACAAAACTCTACTGCCAGGCAGAGAAAGACAAATATCACATACTCTCACTTATACGTGGAATCTAAAGAACATAATAAACTGATAAACAAAATAGATTCAGTGACATACATAGAAGCATGGAACAGACTGACGAATCTCAGAGGGAAGGTGGGGGTGGGTGGGTAGGGAGAGATTAACCAAAGAATTTACATGCATATATGCATAACCCATGGACACAGACAATAGTGTGGTGAAGGCCTGGGGCAGAGAGTGGGTGCAGGGTGAAAGGGGTAAATGGGGAAAAAATGAGACATCTGTAATATGTTCAACAAGATAAATAAATAAAAAAACCCAACTCCACTGAAACAGATATACAGCCATGAAAAGCTTATTCCCCAAAATGAATCCATGCACATACACTGTGCTTTTCTTTCACCAATGGTGGTAAGGGGTTTCTTGTACTCTGACAAGGCTGCTTAAACAGAGAATAAAAGGAAAGGGAACTTTAAGTAGAAGTACTCAGGAAAGATAGGGTCCAGGGAAGACACGACTCCCCCACTCACACCCTCCATTCACACCCTCTTTGTAATATCAGCCTCACCTGCAATGGGGGGCCCAGCAATCATTGGTAAGGCCATCATGCCCAGGAGGTAGCCAATGGCCTGTGAGGCCTGCATTGGGCCCACCAGTTCAAATGCGATGGGGGCCATGATGGTGATGAAGAAGCCATCGCAAAGGCCCAGGAAGAGGCAGACAACGATGAGGCCTCCAAATCCCCTGCACAGGGGAATCATCATGGACATCAGGCCCAAGAGCAGGAAGGAGATGACCTAGAGAAGCAAGGGCCGGAGGTCGGTCATGTTATGCTTGCCAGTAAAGACCACAGAGCAAATCACACCTCCTTTCTCAGGGCCTCATTCCTACCATTTATAAAATGGGGCAACAGGTATCAATAGAGAGAGCAGTTGGATTAATAGTTACTTAGGCCCTTCCTAAGTCCTACATTAAAGGATTCAGTTTTTTTGTTTTTGTTTTTTTGTTTTAAATATATCTTTATTGATTTCAGAGATAGGAAAGGAGAGGGAGAGAGAGAAATAGAAACATCAATGATGAGAGAGTCATTGATCAATCCCACAACCCGGGCATGTGCCCTGACTGGGAATCAAACCCCAGTCGCCTGAATCCTAGGTCACCACTCAACCGCTGAGCCATGCCCAGCTGGGCAGAGAATTCAGTTTTTAAGAGAGCTCTTATTTAACTGTGAGTCTATGTTGTTGCTGTCAGTGGGGTTGTCAGGTTCATCAGTTGGTTTTTAGAGAGGATAAGAAATGTCCTGGCCATGTCATCTGAGGAAATCTCTCTGTTGAGGGACTTTTCAACTTTGCCCAGACTGTTTTGGAATATTTAGGCAGAATCTAGGAATAAGAAACCAGATACCCCAGCTTCTTCTCTACTGTACAACTGTAAGATAAAACCAGACCTACCTATCAACATCCACGCCATAATGGTATGGCAATTGAGAGTTAATACCATTATATAACACAAAGGACGCCATTAACTGATTTTAATCAACTTTAATTACTACCTATTATATCTAGCTGCCTCTTAGCATCCTCAATGAGGCACTGCCAAGGTTTGGAAATTAAAAATCCCTCTTGGAACTAAGAGTCAGGCCTCAAGAACTGACCCAAAGCAAGGATGATCTGCAGGTTGTCACCATTTCCTTTCCAGCAGGCTGTCTAGAGGCTTGACACCAGGCACATGTGCCTGTCTTCTCCAATAGTAGAAACTACAGGATCTAGTGGATGGCTCTTCAGAACACCTGGAGCTATGTACACACTCCTTTCCTCTCCCAGTCCTGTACCCAGAAAAAGGGGGGCAAATTCCTGTGATGAAGTATCTTAAGTAACTCAAGAAAAAGAACTTTATCCATTGTCTTGTGCGCTCAGCCTGGGATACCAGCAGAATGAGTCTGGGCAAGTAACTTTCCCTCTCTGGGCGTCAGTTCCTCATTTATGAAATGGGGGAGTTGGACTACAAGTTGATTGTTTCAGCTACAGCATTCTAAGATTGTTTTATATTATTCTAAGTGGTAAAAGTGAGTCAAGTAAGAGTGGAAAGGGAGAGAGAGTGTTGGGTGGATAGAGGAAGTGGTGAGCAGAAGCACTGGCCCTAAGCCTAGTTCTGCTTCTGACTAGCTAATACCTCTGCCTCCATTGGAACTCCCTCTGCACAATAGAAGTCAAAAGCTGCTCGGGCTCTACCTCTCTCCTAGGGACTGTGGTGAGAACTGAGCTATATGGCTAGGCAGGGCTACTGCCTCTCATCAAGATAAAGTCTAGGCCCAGTGCTAGATTACCCTGATTTTCACTACCCTTTGGCATCTTAGAGCTGCTGATACTGACAGGAAAGACACACAGGGGTGGCATGTTAAAGAGGCTGGGAAAGCCACATACTCTCATGTAAAAATCTACCCAGATAAGGCACTTGCTGATATTTACAGAAGGATTCAAAATTTCATAATTGGTTTATCTCAGTTATAAGCTTTTGGTTTGACCTTGGTCAAGTCACTTATCATCTCTGGGACTTGGCTATGCCTTCTATCTTTTAGAGTAAAGTGGAATATGAGAAGAGCATTACATAAGAGTTCAGCTCTGCCACTACTGTCTGTCTAAGTCTTTCCCTCAGTTTCTCCATCAGTATAAAGAGAGATTGCACTGGATGAATCATAAGGGCACCCCTAGTTCTGACAAAGCAGATTCACCAGTTCTTGCAAACCTAACACAAGAGTTAAGTACAACAGGCAACCTTGTCCAAGACATCTGAGGGTATTTAGGAAAACACTTGGGGCTGTGAGAAGACAGAGAAGTCCATGCTGTGAGTGTAGTTAGGGCCCCTTGGAAGTGATTTTTAGGGCTTCCTTAGGAGAGTCAGAACTCAACCACTTCCTGATGGATTATTTGTGATCACATGTTTTCTGGAACTGCCATCACCCCTCCACAGGGTTTCACACTTGGGCACCTTCTAGTAAACCCAGCTGCAAAAGCAAAAAACATGAACAAGGTCAGAAAGGCAATATTGCTGTCAGGCAGACAAAGACAGACAGCTTGAGAGGTAGTCTGTATTCAAACCATACCAGAGCCCTGTTCACACAGAAAGTAGCCTCTTGAACATTCATGAGGCTACTGGTCATAATATAAGGCTACTGGTGTCACTATCAGAAGGATTAAAACTTTGTATGGCTGTAACATTTTTTTGACTTCCCAAAGCTTGGTCACACCTATATTTCTTTAATCATCACCTGTGAGGTGAGATAGGAAAAGCAAGAATTATTCTCATTGAACAAATGAAGAAAGTGAAGGAGAGTGATCTGGCCTTTTCTGGTACATTTTTGGTGTGTCAATCAAGAGGGTGGTATTTAGGCCATCACTAGGTAGTTCAGTTGGTTAGAGTGTTGTCCTGATACACCAAGGTTGTGGGTTCGATCCCCGGTCAGGGCACATATAAGAATCAACCAATGAATATACACATAAGTGGAACAACAAATCAATCTCTCTCTCTCTCTCCTAAAAATCAATCAATAAATTTAAAAAATAAGGATGGCATTTAACAGCCAGGGCTTGGTACCAAGTAGCTCTGGAAGTATAAGAGGTGACGGGCCTGGGCCTGGACCTGGGCCTAGAGGAGAGAGGCACTGGGCCACAGGGTGTTACAGATGCCCAAGACCCTCCAAGAGAGTGTAGGGTAGTCATGAGATCTCTCCTCACTGGGGGCAGTATCTAACTCCTGGCCTCGCTTTCCCTCTTTCAGATGGAAGAGCCATTACTAATAAAAACTTTCCTTGAAAATGTTCTTAGAGGTTCCATTTATACTACTCTCATTGGATCCTTACTCTAACTATGTTTTTTTTATCCTCACCTGAGGACATCTTTTTCCATTGCTTTCCAGAGAGAGTGGAAGGGAGAGAGAAAGACAGAGAGAGAGAGAGAAACATCGATGTGAGAAAGACACATAGATTGGTTGCCTCCCACACACCCTGACTGGGGTGAGCCTGCAACCGAGGTGCAAGCACTTGGCCGGAATTGAACCCAGGACCTTTCAGTCTGCGGGCCAATGCTCGAACCACTGAGAAAAACCAGCCAGGGCCCTCAGTTCATCTTGATGGAGGCAGAACAAGGATGACTGTATTCCTTTGAAAGCAAGGAAAACTGAGGCTCAGAGAATTTTACTGACTTCCCCATGTTGCACAACAAACTAGTGTCAGAGCTGAGGACGAGGGCACAGCAATGACACAATCTACCATTCTTTCCTAAAATGTGAGGATAGCCCAGCCAGCATGACTCAGTGGTTGAGCACTGACCTATGATCCAAAAGATCTCGGTTCAATTCCTGATCAGGGCACATGCCTGGGTTTCGGGCTCTATCCCCAGCAGGGGCCATGCAGGAGGCAGCTAATCAATGACTCTCATCATTCCCTTCCTCTCTCTGAAATCAATAAAGACATATTTTTAAAAAATAGTTGTGGGAGTAACCTAGCGTCTGTGGCAAAGTGTTCTCCACAGTGGACAAGGTAGCCACACTCACCTGCAAGTAGATCTTCTTAAGTCCAGGAATGGAGTCACTGACACGGCCTGACACAAGGCGCCCAAGGCCTGAGGTAGCCCCAATACACACCAACAGCACCCAGGTCTGCTTGATTTCCAAGAACTCCTCTTCCACATACTTCATCTGAAAAGTATAGCACCAGATCCCCCAGGACAGGAGAAAGAAGAGGAGCTGACTGGTTAAATGTGGGCATATCCAGAACCCTTAACTGCTTACTTGTCTGGTCCAGGGCAAGAATGTTCTCCCTTGTAGCCCTAGGTCTGGGGCAAACCCCCTGGCTGCTTCCAAGAGCTTAAAAGGTTGCATGTCCCCTGGCTCTCTAGATTCTGGGCTTTTGAACAACAGCTGAGGGAACTGGGTATCTAAAATCCCCTTCCAAGGCCTGGCAGGACAGAATACAGCCTTAACAACTGAGAAAACCCAATGATTCTTTTCCAATCTCCCCATTCCTTGACCCCGAACTGATAGACTGGGGAAACAGCAGGTCACTAGGGGAGAAGGATCCACCAACTTTCAGGTAATACTTCTAAGAGTGTGTTTTAAAAAACACGAGGTTGCCCAGCTGAGCGTGGCTCAGCGATTGAGCATCGACCTAGGATCCAGGCGATCAGGGTTCGATTTCCGGTCAGGGCACATGCCCGGGGTGCGGGCTTGATCCCCAGTTGGGGGTGTGCAGGAGGCAGCCGATCAATGACTCTCTCATCATTCACGTTTCTATCGCTCTATCCCTCTCCTTTCCTCTCTCTGAAATCAATAAAGATATGTAAAAAAAAAACCAAAACCATGAGGTCTATGGAAGATAAATTGACTACAACTGACAGTTCGTTGGCCATATAAATTGGGTGGATGCTGGTTAAACGAAGCTGAAGGATTTATTTACTGCAGGATTATTTTAATACCTTTAAAAGATTGCAACATAATATGAAGCTAAAGAGATCTAATATATGCTATTCCTTAACAAAATTATTTGACCACAAGGACCAACATTCCATAGAACACATTTTTAGAAAACCCTATCCTTGAGTCATCTAAGCCAGTCCCCTGCATCTCAGTGATGCTTATCTTCTCCTGAAAATCTATCTGGACTTATCAGCAGGAGAAACCACAGATATAGGCCTTCTCCTAAAGAATTCCCCCTATTTCCCACTGAGATCTTCCCTCAACCTGTGGTCTTTCCCACTATGAGTCTCCGCAACTACTGTTTGTCTTTTTTCCCCAAAGGTCTCAATTCCACCCTTTCAATGTCCTCCACCCCTACCCTCTGCACTTCAAGTAGGTTAAGGGCAGATTCTTGGGGTGAGATAGAATGTGCCCATCATAGTATTCCTCACCAGGTGTACATAGGGAACGAAGTAGCCGAGGGCAGCAGCAGCAATCCCAAAGGCCCAGATGCGGTAGGTACGCTGGCGGAACACTCGCATGTTGAAGTACTTCCTGAGTTGAGCCAGAAAGCGTTGGCACAGGGTGTGGACACCTCTCTTGCTTGGGGTGTCTTGAGAGCTGGGCAGGAGGGGCCGGTAGGTGAGGGAAAGCAGCGTAAGAATAAACATGAAGGTACTTAGCACCTGGAAGGTTTGGGCGAGCTTTATCTTAGCACCCAGCATTTTGATGAGAAGAGGGAAGGATATGGAGAAGATGCTACTCCCAGCAGACACTACGCCATTGGCCAGACCCAGGCGGCGTTGGAAGTAGTGGCCCAGGATGACGAGAGATGGCTGAAAGGCGAAGGAACAGCCACAACCAAAGAGAATCCCATAGGTGAAGTAACGCAGGCTTAGTGAGCTGTGGGAGAGACACCAAGAGCTATCCTCAGCAGCCTGACCAGCAAATCCACCAGCCCTTTTCCCTTCACCCTCCTGAGACCTGAATCCCCCCGCCATTAACCCACAACCCCACTTAACCTCTGACCCTCAGAACAGACAAAGAACAGGACCTTCTGATCCCCACTTTGCAGATAGGGAGACAGAGGCTCATAGATGTAAAGTAATTTACCCAAGGTAGTATTACAGGATTAGAAAAGCTTGGACTTGACTCCAGGTCTGTGAGATTCTATTTTAAGTTATAGTACCCAATCAAAAACTACTGTTCAAAACAAAGTCAGAACCAACCTACACAAAGGCTGGATGAAGTGCTACAAGGAGTAAGTCAGTGACTTAGAACAGTTTCACCTACTGCTCACCTAGACAGCATGGTAGGCTGGTAGTCATAGCTTTATCCCTAGTAACAGCAAAGGTCTGCAAGGAGCCAAGATCCTGGAAGGTTGAGACCCTCCATAGGACTCTTCAGTGTCTTTCTCCATGCTCAGAGCCCTTAATATTTCAGAGAATGGCTGGTGGCCTCCTGAGAGACAGCCCATTCCCAACCATGCCCAAAATCTGAATATCCCAAGACCCTTTAGTCCAGGCCCTAGATGATCTCCGTGGGGACCCTGAGGTAAAAAGCCCCTTTAACTTTCAGAGCCTGGCTACGGTTGCTAGACATGGTATGGATTAGCTTCCCAGAGTAGCCTGGCTGCTTGATGGGAAATGGAGCCTCAAAAAAGTTATGGGTCTCCTGCCTGGCCAGCGTGGCTCAGTGGTTGAACCTTGGCCTATAATCTGGGAGATCATAGTTCGATTCCTGGTCAGGCCACATGCCCCAGTTGCAGGCTCAATCCCCAGTGTGGGGTGTGCAGGAGGCACCCAATCAATGACTCTCTTTCATCATCGATGTTTCTATCTATCTCTCCCTCTACCTCCCTCTCTCTGAAATCAATAAAAACATATTTTAAAAAACGTTATGGGTCTCACAAAGTAAGACATGCTCTGGCTTAAAATTCTTAGGCCATGTGGTGGCCATAAGCCTCTGTAACACAAGGCAAAGTAGTCAGCAGGGAAAAGGCCATATGAAGGTTGGCTTGGCCAGCCATCTGCTCCTCCAAAATACTGGTACAACCTAGTGAAGAATCTTGTGTGTGTGTGTTTTTAAATATGTTTTTATTGATTTCAGAGAGAGGAAGGGAGAGGGATAGAGAGACAGAAACATCAATGATGAGAGAGTCATTGATTGGCTGCCTCCTGCATGCCCCCTACTGGGGATCAAGCCCACAACCCTGGCATATGCCCTGACCAGGAATCGAACCGTGACCTCCTGGTTCATAGGTCAATGCTAAACCACTGAGCCACTCCAGCCAGGCTTGTGTGTGTGTTTTTTAAGCCTCCATACATTTTGCAATAGTGTCTATCTGACCATTTAATTACCTAATACTCTCCACGGTCAGGCAGTTCCTCCCCATTGATGTCAGTTCTCATACTCAAGGATTGGGCTTATGCTGCAGAGATGATAGGGTGCTAGCATGCATGATTCCAACCACAGCTATCATTACCAATGTTTTCCATCTGCTTGCATTCACTGGATATGAGCAAGGGCTTTGGTTTCAAAAGGGTTGCCTCCACTTGGAACACATAGCTAAGCCAACTACTCCTTTTCTGTAAGATTCCTTGGGGCCTGCTCCCATGAGATTCTAAGGATTCATTGGGATGGCCTGGGCCAGGGATCTTGTCTAAGGAACAGGAGTTAGACCTTCAGAACGAGGGCCAGTGGGGGCAAATCATGAGGTTCAGTCCAGGGTGCTATGTATGTGGTAGATCTATTTCTAGTTGCACCCAAGGCAGGAGGCCCCTAAATAGGTTTGCCAAGTCCTCCCCAGCCCTGCCTGCATTCCTCTCCACCTCACGCAACCCAAAGGAACTCAGAGCCCTGATTCAAACAACAGGAAGGATGACTTGGAGCCCTAGCCACAAACAGAACCATTTTTCCACTGGATGTGAAGCAATCCAGAATATTTCTTGGCTCTGAAGATGTTCTTACAGAAAAAGTAAAGGGGTTGGGGGAGGGGCTTAAGGGCTGGAGAACAGAACACCTACTCCAATGTGCCTAAAGAAGAATGCCAGAAGAAAACACGTCTGAGTTCCTTCCTCTCCTGTAATGGCTCATGTGGATTGGAAGGGAAATGGGATCCATATGTTGTTAATTTGTTTACACTTTGTTATGCTCAGCTTTAGAAAACAGTCCTCTGCTGTGACTGGAGTTGCTTCTGAGGCCTAGCACCTACCCACAAGGAGCCAGACATCACCTTGCTGAGGGAAAATGAGGCCAACCACTAGAGGGGTTCCAAAAGGGTTTGGAGTTGCTTCCCTAGTAGGGCTGAGCAGATTCCAGGTAGAACATGGTTTTCCCCTCTATCTGAATTAGATGGGACTGAGCTAAGAAACCACTGAAGGACAGATCCAAGCTCTGCTGCAGGGTAGGCTGGACAGCCAGAAATGTTCAAGTCATAAAGCTAGCTCATTCTCAAAGGGCCCAGTTGTGGCAGAACACGATTATCACTCTCTGATGTGAGGGGAACCTTAGGCCTAAAGAACATAACCATGGTCCTGCTCTGGGAAGCCAAGCTCAGAAAGCAAATCTCTGACAAATTAACTGTATCTCCAGGCCAGCATCTTCCTACACAAGCTCAGGTAGATTGGAAGTAGGAGGTACCATAACTTCCAAAGTGGATTTTGCAGAAAGTCGAAGTATTAGGAATCCCCTATTTCTCAGCCTGTCATGGAGGGTTTTCATTTCTCCCTTCAACTACAGACATGCTTCTGCAGGGCAGGCAGAAAGAAAACAGAAAATTAACCTGTAGCTTGCTCCTTGACACTACTGAGTTCTGCCAATGGAACTAACCAGACCAGAGCTTGACTTTAGCTTAGGCCTGGCTGGATAGAGATGCTGTTAAATATCCCTTTTCATGCTCAAGACATGAATCTTTATCTGTCCCAAACCATTATGCATTTGCAGCCAGAAATATCCTGAAAGGGGGCAGAAATGCTAAACAGCCTTGGGCTCCGCTGACCTCATTTTCAGCATAAGATTCCTTCAGGAATCCTGTAATGATAGATGTCCACATAAGCTTGCTCTAAAAGCTCATTCCCAACAAGGCAGATGAGGTCATGAGATGTGTGGTACATTGAAGAAGAATAAAATGGCAGAGGTGTAAGAGACATGAAAACACCATCTGGTCTAATCCTCTCATGTTACAAATACTAGAAATTGAGGCCCAGAGAGGGGAATGGTACTCATCGATTGTTCCATAGCCATTCAGTGGCCAAAACTAGACATGGGCCCAGCTGTATGAACTCCCAAACTTAGATTACTCCCACCATTTTTGAATTCTTGGGTCGTCTTTGAAGATATTCCCTACCAATGGGCACTGGGGACTCTACCTAGATGAGTCCCATTAGACAATGAGGAACCAACATGGAAAGGGCCATAGGGGATTTTGCAATAAGAAGAGTATCCCTAGTTGAAGTCCAGAAAGAAGCCAACCCTTAGGCTTGGGCAAATGTCTAGCAGCACCTAGCCTTACCTGGTGAAGGAGCTGGTATGGAGGCCAATGAAAGCGACGGCAGCCCCTGCAGTTGCTGTGATTCGGCAGCCCAAACGATCAGTAAATATACTCACAATGGGAGAACAGAAGAAGATCATGCCCATTGAGAGGGCTCCTACCCATGCTGCAAAGAAAACAAGCACAAAGATACCTTAGCTTAATGTGGTTTCTGGTGGTATGACTGATATCTCAAGTCTTCCCTGGACTTTCACAGGGGGCATTGCATTGGCCTGCATTGCCAGCCAGCTACTCCCTAGTGGCCAGAGAGATTAGGCGATTTTCAAAGTACCTATAGCAGGGCAATATGAGAACCAAGAGTCTAGTTTATAAACACACCCAGCACTTCAGAGCTGGGGCAGGGGACCTTTCAAGATCAAGTCTATGATGAAGCCTAACTAGCCACCACACAGCTGTACATTTCTCAGCCTCTTTGACTGTTTAGTATGACCATGAGACTGAATTCTGACCAATAGAATGTGGGTAAAAGTGATACACACCACTTCCAGGCTTGGACCATAAATAGTCCCATCAGGTTTCTGCTTTCTGGTGAGCTACATCTACAGAATGATCTGTGTCCCTGAATAACTACATTGAGCAAACTTCTCCCTCCCTCTCCAATATGGAATCCCTGCACAGAATGTTACATGAAAAATAGAGAAATTTCTTGTCTTTTAAGCCATTGTTTTTTTAATTTTTTATTATTGCATCTACCTTTTAAAAATTTTTATCGAATTTATTGGGGTGACATTAGTTAATAAAATTATATAGGTTTCAGGTGTACAATTCTATAATACATCATCTGTATATTGTATTGTGTTCACCACCCCAAGTCAAGTCTCCTTCCATCACCATTTGACTCCCTTTACTGTCTTCTACCTCCCGCCAACCCCCTTTTCCCTCTGGTAATCACCATACTGTTGTCTGTGTCTATGAGTTTGTTTTTCTTCGCTTAATTCCTTCAACTTTTCCACCTAGCCCCTCAAACCCCCTCTCCTCTGACAGTTGTCAGTCTGTTCTCTGTATCTATGAATCTGTTTCTATTTTGTCTGTTAGTTTATTTTGCTCATTAGATTCCACATATAAGGGAGATCATGTGATACTTGTCTTTCTCTAACTGGCTTATTTCACTTAGCATAACACTCTCCAGGTCCAATCATGCTGTTGCAAAGGGTAAGATTTTCTTCTTTTTCATGGCTGAACAGTATACCATTATGTAAATGCACCACAGCTTTTTCTTTTTTTAATATATCTTTATTGGTTTCAGAGAGAGGAAGGAAGAGGGAGAGAGAGAGAGAGATAGAAACATCAATGATGAGACAGCCATTGATCGGCTGCCTCCTGCACATCCCGGACTGGGGATCGAGCCTGCAACCCCAGCATGTGCCCTGACCGGGAATTGAACAGCGATCTCCTGGATCCTAGGCCAACACTCAACCGCTGAGCCATGCCCAGCCGGGCCAACAGCTTTTTTTATCCATTCAGTTTTAATGGCCATTTGTTACAGCAGTTAAACCAACAGAAACTGAAACAAAGATCCCTCCACTACCATTTTACTGATAAAGAAACAGCTCCAGTAATGTGAAGGAACTTACCAAAGCTCACACAGCAAGTTAGTAGCAGAGCTGACACTCAAACCCAACTCTCCTTATTTCTAGTCCAAAGTTAATTGTATTTTTATATATCTCCTATTGGGATGAATGAAGCTTCCCATCACTGGATGTGTGTAAGCAGAGGTTAGATATAAAACAAGGGATTCAAGCATTGGGGTCATATTTGGACTAGCCAACATTTTAAGCCTTTCCAGGGATGCTAAGCCTGATCTATCACCTTAGGCACTTGGCTACTTGGCTTCAGTGCCAAGAAAGATGGGCATTAATTAAGACTTCAAGAGCTAAGGTAAGGCTCATCTTGGTCACTGAAACAGTCCTGTGTAGATGCTAAGACTAAGGAGCAGGGAAAGCCACAAACACAGGACAGGTTCAGGAGCCACACAAAGATTTCTAAGGATACTGTGCAAGAGAGTCATGTAACCATCATGCTGAAATCCTTCATCGGAGGCCATGTTGGGCAAATTCCTAGCTCCAAACTCAAATAAGAAGACTTTATTCTGCTTATAAAGGCTCTTAAGTATCTCTAACAATGCTCATCAGGAACAAAGAAATTTGTCATTTTACTTATATTCTTACAGCCCATTTCTCCTTGCTCAGTCCTCTGAAAGAAAGCCCAAGAGTGTTTGTTTGTTTGAAGGCTGTTATTCAGTTTCATCTGGACCTCTCTTTTCTAGGCTAAATCATCTTAGTTCCCTTAAATTTTCTTCTCAGCATTAATGTCTAACTCTGTAATTACTTCCAGAGCTCTCCTCTGAACAGATTCCAAGTCTTCATCATCATCATCATCATCATCATCATCAAGCATCACTGAGTATTACCTGAGCAGAGCATCAGGTCAGCTTCTGGCTCTATTCAATTATGGAGGCTCAAGTGTGCCAGAGAAGGGCAGTCTGAGTGAGATCAGGGTTAGCCCACTGCCTGTGTCACTTACCTCAGTGCCTAAAAAGTTGTTCAGATCCTCACTGGGAAAATTTGCTTTGCTGGGGCACCATCTTGAGCCATAGCTGCCTGGCTCCCAAAGTACTGTCCTGGGACAGCAGGGAGACCTGAACTCTCATCACAATTTTACTTCTTACCTTGCAATTTCACCTTTTATCAACCATGGGGCTTTGAGCAAGTCACACAACACTTCTTTAATCCTCAGTCTTATCATCTGTAAAATGGGGATTAAAATTCCTTATGGGCCTTCCTCAAAGATTTTTTAAATGATGATCACATGTTGTCATATGTATAAGAGAAGTTTGTAAATAGTAATAATCACATCATCTCGCTTGTACGTGGAATCTAAAGAACTTAATAAATTGACGAGCAGAATAGATTCAATGACATGGAAGCATAGTTGAAACTGACCAAAGGTCAGAGGGATGGAGGGGGGCGGGGGGATGGAGGGGGAGAGAGTAACCAAAGAATTTATGTGCA